ACCGACGACATAGATTCGTCAACTAAATATACTAATAGTTCATTGTGTAAAACTGATGACTCTGGATATGTACAAACAAGGTCGCACATGAACAGCCTTCTTCAAAGAAATGATACTTTAAGCCCTTTCTCACATGATCATAACCAAAATAGAACTGCTCAGCATATGGAGAATTTAATATATTCAGATAGCCACAAATCCAGTGGAAATTCGTCTTCTGAACCTAACAGGATCCAAAGGTCAACACCTAATCGCACTTTGATTGTAGAGGATGTTCTGCCTGCGGACAGATCTTCCAAAAATGCTAAAAAAAGTGAACCAAATCACAGAGACTATGTACAGATAGGCAGACATGAAAAAACTGGTGCTCACAATTCTGAACGAGTTGTGAATGAATCAAACAATAGAGAGTCACTTCAAGACAGTAAAGATTTAAGGACATCATTGTATGTACATACGGGTGCTGTCCCGAAAACTCGGAGTAACAGTTTCACTAAAGCTGTCTTGAAACAAGAAAAAATGGACAAGATCAAAAAACACCAGCAAACTGTTCGAATCGAAGTACATAAAGAGTTTATTGGTGGAGAAAAAACTGATAATTTTGAGATGGGGACTAAGTCTGGGGATATAACTGTGCAACAGGGATCCCCAAGGAGCTTAGCATGTTCCAATAACAGAAATATGTCTTTACATAACTCGTACCAAAGGAGCAGAAGCTTATCTCCTAAGCGAGAACCAGATGTCAGTAATCCAGTGATCGTTAATAGTAAAAGTAACCTTGAGATCAATAAGGAGGATAGTCTCAGGTCAAGATCTATGTCACCAGCTTATCAGAAAGTTCAAGCCTCAAGTCGTGACCGTAAGAGTCGACAGGCTGCAAGAAAATCTGACATGATGAATGGACCAGAACATGTTACTTCACGCGCCAAGTCATTATCACCGACTCGTCATAATAATAAAATGGTGAATGGTTTTAGCCCAGATAGCGGTTTAGAATCAAATAGAAATCACTCACAGACGGAAGATGATCAGGTGTCCATGAGCTCTGGTATTGGCTCTGCTGGTCAGAATAGCCCTCAACAAGTAGTTAACTTGAACAGTCCTCAACAGATAATCAATTCAAAAGCATTACCAAATGGTCACAGTGTAACTCCAAGGTTGAAGACTGACAGTAGAGGCAATGCTCCTTTATTTTTCAAGAGTTCACCCATTCAAACAAATAACATTAAACATAACAATGAAAAAGCTCAAAACGACGATGTTTTGGGGCCCAGGGGCTCAACTAAACGTTTATATATTGACACAAGTCAATATGACCTCAAGGGAAAAGGTCAACACAACACCACAATTCCACTTGAACATTCCAAAGAAAAGCCAAACCTAAACCAGCATGTTAATGATTCACAAGGTTTGCGAGAGCAGCCGCGTAATTCCTCTGCCTCCATTACACAGCCATCTGCCAGTAGAAACAGTACTGATCCATATCGCAATAAACAATCTCCAGCTGACCTTCAAAAATCACACACTGTATCCACACTTCATCAGTTGTCTTCTGACGTTCCCAGTCACACTGCAAGCATTGGGACTGGTAAATCTTCCACCACATTTCATCCACGTGTTGTCAACATGTCTGGTCAACCTCTGGTAGTTACAAACATGAATGGTAAAGTTTATTCCCGCAATGCTTTACCCACACAGCAAACACCACTAAGGAATGTATCCAACACCGAACATCCCCACATGACCAAATCCTATTCACTTCAATCAGATACTGAGCATAGGCAAGCTCGAACATATCACACCTCAAACGACTCAAGTATCTCCAAGAAACCAGCACAGTATTCCAGTCAGCCAGATCTACAGGTCAAACGACAAGAATCCAAACCTATCCCACAATTCACAGCAACATCAAATTCTCGGCAGCAATCAAGACCATCCCACAATTCATCATATGAACGACACCAGCAACCCCAGCAGGAAGTAGCGAATTACAAGGATCACCAGATGGCACCACCTGCAGATAAGGTCCTACCATATGAACACCATTACCAGATGAATCATTCTTCAGGTCCTCACAGTCCTTCCCAGCTCTCAGTCTCTTCGTCTTCCACAACTCTGTCAGGAGGTAGTGGCAACAGACGTCGGAACCCGCTGGATGCCTCCCTCCTGCAGGAGTTCTTGTCCACTGAACCACAATCAAAACCTGAGCGAGCTGGACCTGTTATCAGAGATAGTGGAAGTAATCCACCTAAAGCTAACACCTTGAGTATACCAACAAACACAAGTGTCAAGGTACCTTCAAATTTTGGGCCATCTACCCAACGTACCTTTTCTACATTTGGGTATTAATACCTAACAGAATTAAAATATTTTAATAATCCATATTAAAAATTGTGTGTGTTTTTTGATATCTACAACCACAAAAGTCTCACCTTGCTCTATAAAAATATCTATTTGTAATGTTATCTATATTTATGTAAATATTTTAATACATATTGTGATGATAATTTGAAACTATCAATATATTCCATGCTTAATCCAGATAAATTGCTCACATTCAATAATTTATACTTCCAGATGAATTTAACTTATGCAACTTTTGGCTGAATAGCTTCATCCAGAATCCTTGGAGTGCTTACCTAATATTGTATTAAATTAACACATTTTATATATAATGGAAAATGTTGAGTTTTAAATAAATTGCATAGACAAAAAGTCTTTGATAATATGCACTACATAAGATTTAAGTACAGATTTCTAAAGCTTCAATGCAGTGGTGGTTCCAGATATTTGTGTACATGGGGCAAGTAAGTCTAACAGGGGACTGAACCAAGAGGTCATCTGAGACTGCCAGTTAGGTGTTAACAATAATTAATACTAGATGGAGTTGTATAGCACATCGTGCAAAAAAGACCTGTATGTCTTAAGCTGTGTCCAGACTGTCACATTTTCTTTGAAAAAACAATTTTTTGTAATCTCGAAAGCTCTGTTGAGGGCAGTATAATAGAGGCAGTAGAGCTGAAAAAGATCTATTAATCAATCTACTATTAATCAATCAACCGAGTGTTTCTAGAGCTCCTCATGACATCATCAAATAAAAACAGTATATATAAAAATGATCTATTTAATCAATCAACTGTTTAATCAGTCAGCCTCATGAGGGCAGTATAATTATAGAGGCAGTAGATCTAAAATTCAGCCAAGTGTTTCTAGAGCTCCTCATCGGAGCTAAAAATTGTTGCATGGCCGTATAAATTGTCATAATATGCCTATATATGGTCATGATATGAAGTCATCATGACCATATTTAGGTATGTCACATGTTTTGTCAAATAAAATACAGAAGTCAAGACATAACAGGTCTTTAGAATAGAACCTCCAGTGAGGTGCAATGGGTAGAGATATTATGGTTTACACAGTAGATTTATTTGGTCCCTGATGTCCACTGGTGCCACCACTGCATCAGTGTCAGCTTTTCGATTAGATTACCGTAAACAGAGTCCCAATATGGTCTGTGCCGTAGGCTTTTTTTATCAAAAAGGAAAGCTGAAGAGGAGATACCGTAAAACCTCAAATTGAAGACCAGTGGGCTTAATCTCGAGAAGCCGAACTCGAATTGAAGCCCCATCTTTAGTTTGCAAAATCAGCCTGGAAAAAAAGCCCATGGGGTTCATTTCAAGATAGCATAGGCTTCTTTTCGAGATAATACAGTACATATACTGTACATGATTTCAGAAAACAATATAAATTAAATACATGCTTGGTTTATACAGTAGTTTAGGTGATTTAATGCCAGTTAAATACACTCCATAATACACACTGATGTTACAGTGGCCTTATTTATTGTTTATTTATTGTTTTATAGTACAAATTCACAAAATTTACAGTATTCATTTTGAAAAGAAGCCCCCCCTCTTTACTTTGCAAAAGTAGTCTCGAAAAAAAAGTCCATATAAAAAAGAAGACCATCCAAAGTTAACAAAAAAAATAGAAGTCCGGGGCTTCAATTTGAGGTTTTATGGGAGCTCAGTATGGCATCATAGACATGAATTAGTTATTTGTAATAATAAGCATATTTGGGAAGGGATGGGGTTTGAATTTTAATGTATTTGATAATATATTTTATATGAATAATGAAAATTGTGTTTATTGTGCCAGCAACTCTTAAATAATTGTATAGAAAATAGGTTTGGAGAATAAAGAATACTATAACTAATTTCACTTTTAGAAAATAGTTTTAATACATAAATATGTTATTGAAGATAAATTGTTTGGTTTGTGCTTTCAAAATGTATAGCATATAATTGTAAACTTTGTGAATATTCATTTGTAGCCAACGTACATATTTTACAGAAATATTTATGCTTTATGATAAAAATAAAGTTTGATTTAAAATCCGAATTTGTTGGGTTGCTGTATTTATTTACGAAAGTCTAATGACGTTTATGCCACTTTATTACAGTTGAAAATAATACCTAAACAGTGTATCCTCCAATTCGAGACCCCTCTGATTTAGACCACTTTTTCAAAGAACCATCTACTAGCGCTATCTTAACACACTATGTGGAATTGAAGGGCGAACTGTAATGATAATGTATAATATAAACTTAAAATCGTGGCTGTACCATCCGATTGCTAACCCGATGATAGGTATGAAAATCAATCACAGGAGCGTCGGTTTGGCGATTAAAGAAAACCACATTTATATTAGCAGTGAAATCTCGAAGTGTTGCACATTCAAGGGAGGAGAGGAGAAAGTTAGGATGATACAGTAATACAACACAGAGCATGTCAGCAAATTGATCCCTTGGTAAGATAAAGTAATTAAGTAGGTCTATGAATAACGGGTTAAATTATATTGCATACCATCATCTGTGCGTGGTTTTATTTTATATTAAGAGGTTGAAAGAAACTTGTTTTCCTTTGATCATCAATTACTTATTAGTCAATTTGTCGATGACTTTTCGCCAATCATCAACAACACACATGGTCTGTGTGAGGGCGTTGTGCAGAAAGGGTAAGAGCTAGTTTGTGATGATGAGACAGATTGTGTAGAAAGGAACAATGTTGACGTATTCGCTGTGTGTACGTTGTAATCAGCTAGGTATGTATAGTTTCAGTACTAGGCCTAGGTAGGCTAGGCCTAAATCCGAAAAGTAAGCAGTTAGAATGCCACATGATTGTGGAATTTTACAAATAAACCAGGTTAGTTTTGTCCTTCAAAACTAGAGGAGGAGGGCAGACTCGCGCAAGCAAAATGTCGTTGGGCCTTGGCTTGAGCGACGGACTCTGGGCACTGCGATCCGAGTTAGGAAATGCTTGATGGGCTTGACGTGTAGGCCTAGCTTCTTATCCTAGATTATGGTTTAGCAGTCATATCCATGATAGACGAGAGCTGCAGCCATTTTCAATCAGTAGGAAATTGCCAGAATGTCCGAGTTTACAGTGCGAAGTTTTATGTAATTTGAACGTTTATAAAAACTTAATTATTTGCTTTCATATGTCAATTCAGTTATGCGTTATATTTTATGGTGGTGGTGTTTGATTATGATGTGTGGCACATGAAATTCACATGTACATTAATTACTTTAAAATTAGTAAAATTATCCAAATGCGTACACAGACATACAAATAGGGCCTGGCCCCTAAGAAGCCTAGACCTATTTAACGGCATAATCCAGCAGAACAACTACCAATGCTAAACAGCGATTCGATGAACCTCGATTACAACAAGAAAGTTAAACAAAAAGATGGAACTTCATGATGCCACATTTTGTTGTCGGATGTTTCATGGTAAAATGCCGATTTAAATTGTAAGACTGCACTTTAATTGTTTTAAAATTTAAAAATTAACTTGGACATTCTGGCAATTTTCTGATTGAAAAACAGTAGGGCTCGTTGTGCTAGCTAGCGCTGAAACGGTGTATCAACCTGTATTTGTAAAGGTATTTATATCAATGAGACCTCAATTACGACAAGGAAGTTAAATAAAAATATGGTACTTCATGATGCTCAGGGGAAAATTCTGATTCATATTTTAATTGTATCAAAATATAAGAATTGACTCGGACATTCTGGCAATTTTCTACCTGATTGCAAAACAGTACAGCTCCTCATGCTAGCTAGCGCGGAAACGCTGTATCAACCAGTTTGTAAAGGTATCTTTTTAGTTGGAAAAGTACTTCGTGAGCGGTTGAATCATGTAAAAATGTTTTATAATTATATGTTGTGATTGTGAGAAGAGTGACACTGAGGTAAAAAAATTAGGAATTAAAAGTTAGGTGCGAAAGTGCATTAGCACCCCATGGTAGCACATTAGTCAAACAGATAATATACTTTTCCCACGATACATGCTATGTCTAGTAAGTAGCCACCTATTCTATATATAAATAAATTTTTTAAGTAAAAGTTACTGCTTGACTATAGACAATCTTCCCAACTATTTTGGTAGGTACTACCTAGACCTAGGCTATGTATTGTATAACAATTTTAAGTGTATAAAATTTTGTTGTTTAAAAAAAAAATTATCCAACTTTTAATTCTGTATTTTATTGTTATTGTATGTTAGGTAGTGGACTATTTGAATAGTTACACTGTATTTATTCCTTTTTTATTTTTCAGATAGTCTATTCGATCAGGCCGTGTTACTAATTGAAAGCAAAGCTGCAGTGATATGTAAAGAAGACCATTGAAAACATGGAGACTGAGTTGAATGATAACAGTTCTCCTAAGAAAAGAAGAAGAGGCAGGCCACGGAAGTGTGATAAAGTGACCAGTTGTTTAACATCTTCACAAAACAATTATACAACACAAGAAAATAGTGATGTAAACAAAGTGCTAGACATAGATGCAGAAGGAACAAAATGTATGGATGAAACAGTGAGGCAGACTAGAAGATCTGGAAGACAAGTAAAAGTTCCAACTAGGTACAACAATTACGTAGTTGAAAGAGATAATACTCCAGAAGATATCACAAAGAATATAAGTGAAGTGTATGAATGTGATGCTTGTTTCAAGACATTTCTTTCTAAATGTAGTATATACTGCCACCAGTACACTTGTGTAGCGGAAAAAGAGCTTTCTTGTGATATATGTCAAGAAACGCTTCACTCATACAAAGATTTGAGGACACATAGGAAAACTCACCGTTATTATTCTTGTGATTTTTGTAAGCAGGAGTTTAAGAATATTGCTGAGTACCGGGTTCATAGCAGGTGGCATTCGTTGCAAACAATTGAATGTAACATCTGTCATAGGAGATTTTTAAGGATGAAGGCACTTAAGGAGCACATGGTACAGGAACATGATCGACCAATGGAAATGTACACATGCCCAATGTGTCAGAAAACATTCGCTTTGTTAGATTATTTAAAAGAGCATCAGAAAACACACGAGGGTGAAGATGGATATACAATGGAGTATATTGTGAAGCCACTTGTGAAAGATACAACTAAACGAAACACTTGTGCTCAAGATAAGCCTGGTAAAACACAACAATTTGTTAAGAAAACTCTTGAGCCCCAAGAGATAAGAAATAAGGAAAGAGATAATGAAGCTGTACCATTGAACTTAAATAAACCAATGGCCTCATCTGAAAAAAATGTGAAGAGAGTTAGAAGACCAATGAAAGCAAGCAGTCATGTGGTTGTTCATGTCCATGTGCAACCAGATGAGGAAGAGGGGCAAAAGATTGTCACCACATGTCAAGAAGAACAGGTTACAGCAGAGAATACACAGCAGCTTAAGCAGCAACAAGAGACAACTGCAGAGGCCATATTTTCACTAATGGGTGGCCAACTGCCAGAAGGATGTATGGTTGTGCTTGCAGAGTCAGAAGAGCCTGTCAATGAATTTGAAAGAGAAGCTACTACTGCAGCAATAGAATTAATCCAACAAGAACAACAGAATGGCAACATTGCCAGCAGCCAAGATTTAGCTGATGGTGGCAACAAGGAAACACCTGCGTTGATAGAAAGTACTTACAGTTCAGCTATTGAAGAGGTACAAACTGGTGTTGAGAGCCAACTGGAAGCACAAGGAGATGAACAAACACAGCAATTGGTTGTTAATGAAGAGGTAGTAGACCAAGAACAGAACCAACAAATACACCAAAGTGGACAAACAGATCAAATTAGTAGGACTGAGCAGACTATGTCACAAAATGCTCATGAGATTTTGGAAGGGAACCAAATTATTCTACCTGATGGACAGACTATTGTGGTTGAACAAGAGAATAACTTGGTACCAGGACAAAAAATTTATCTACAACATATTGAAACATTTTCAGATCAAGAACACGGTCAGGTCAGCAGTCAGCAAATAATAATGCAGGGCCAACTTGTTGAGCAGGGTCATTCAGTAATATTAAATAATCAAGAGAATGTCATAGATGGTCAACACACAGTGTTGGTCCAAGAAGGGCCTGATGGTCACCAGCATACCATGTTTGTCCAGGAAGGGCCAGGTGGCCACCATCAGCATGTGCTTCTTCAGACAGCTGAAGATTGTGTTGCTATTGGTAGCAACGAACACCATGTGATAGTGCAGGAAGATGGCGATATTGTTAGCAGTAACCAGCATGTAATAATGCAATCTGGAGATGGTACTACGCTATTGTTAGAGGGTGATTGTTCTGTTGGCGATAGTATCATAGTTGCAGCGATGCAACATGTATAAGAAATTAGGCTGTTGCAGATAATGAGACGCCATGAATTTTTTTAATGCATATTCATGAAGCCTATCAAAAATTCTCATTTAAATGGCAGTCATATGTGATGTGACCTGTTTTCATATAATTTGTTTGGTTAAGCAAACTTACTATGCATCCCCTTTTAAAGCCCCTTATAATTTCAATTGGACATACAATTAAATAATGTTTTGTTTACCTTATATAGCGCATATTGCACATTGTATCTGTACACAATAGCTGTATTCGACTGGTCATTCTTCCTTAAACCACGCTTAACAAAGACGACCAGTCAAATAGAAAACTGGTAAATACTCGACAAAACAAAATGGCTGCATAGTTACCACGATGCACACTGCGTAATCAAGGTTGCTTCAGCTTGTGGCAGTATGGGTTTTTCGTAAGAAAAAAAAAATTCATCCAGTTTTTGAATTATTTTTTGACTTCATGTGGGTAAATGTTATAATTTTTATTTTCTGAAATTTAACCTAAATTATGTTAACGCAAACTCTGTTGATAAACTGACCAATCAGCCATGTTTGTTTTGGTCATGTGGATAACTTAGCGCTGATTAACGCACTGTGATTTACGTTAATTTTCATTGTTCAACGAAGTCTATTTTACAAACTAGTCAAATTAAAATATTACTCAACGGAAAATCATAGTCAACGAAATGAACCAGTCGAATAAGCCCAATGTGTTCATTCACTAACAGAATAAAATTTATGTGCATTCAAGCCATGATCAATGTGATGTGATAATGGGCTTGAGCATTTTTATGGTTTTACCCTTGACAGACATACACAGTTGAAACTATAAGAGGGCGTATTGTCTATTGTATTATATACTGTATGCTTACTGAAATATACACATTTCCTGACTGAATAATGCAGTCATGTGATCATTATTGTGTATAAGATGATAAACCCCCAGTAAGATTATTCAGAGCAAAGGAAAAAAAATGGTTTTTGTTTTAATTTCCAATGATACACTGTACTGTAGAATGATCGTTTCCTGTGTGTAACATCTTTGCACTGTATTGTATCATTTAAATATTTTTATAAATGTGTAAAATATATAATTATATTTTGTTTGTTCATATCATAGGTTTCATCTTTGAATTACTTGGCATGGTCTCAGCTCCAGAGTTTGTGTAGATATCCAACATGCCTTGCATATTTAAAGAAATTTATTAATGAATTTTATACAATCTTTTTTTTAAATTTTAATTATCCTGTATGGATTAAAACAACACAAATCACCTTGGTATATTAATCAGTAGCTAAAATGTTTGAAGAACTATCAAATACTAATAGACATATTTGATTCTTCTGGTGAAAACTGGATAGAAAATTGTATTTTTGTATGTTTTATGGAGTAAGCCTGATGTAAGTATTCTGCTGCTTGTTTATGGGAGGATGGGAAGCTCTCCAAATTCAACAGAAGTCAGTCAGGGTCCTTGGTAATATTAATGTACATCTTAGTTCCTAGTGATTACATTATAGTTTGTGGCATCCAGTCTCAAAACCACTGAAGTACATACAGCCCAAATCCTTGCACTTTTTCTTTAGTTCTAATGAAAAGTACTGTAAATGTGTACTATACACACACATGGTTTGATGGTTTCAAATGTATACTGTACATTATTTTCATTTATTATGAGTAAAAAAAAAAATAAGACATCAAATTTCAATTTATTACACTTTTGTAGTTTTATTTGCTTCCTGAAACATTATACTGTATATACTTACTGTATTCTAATAATGTACAACTACAGTTGTCTTTTTGAGGTAACAGTCGATTCTTCAATTATGATTTCAAAATTAATGGTTGTTAGACTATTTTTTTTACCACATATTGTTTTATTCCAATTCTTCAATAAATGTCAATATGAAAGCATGCGGCACAGCAGTATCAATTTGACCTGTCAAATAAGTGTTGCAGGTTCAAATCCATAGCCGGTCACATGGAAAGCGTTAGCACCCGTGTGTTTAGCGTTAACCTTTACCAGGATCTGGATACATCAATGGTTAGCAAGATGAGCGTGTTTCTATCATTAACTAATCACACACACGCATTTCCAATATCCTATTAGCCAGTGATCATATCTGGATCGGGGATATTTTTTGTACGAACGCAACTGTTAGCATGTTATTTATCTGGTGTGTGCAAAACATAGCCTCCAGGTTTATGAATGGTTGGGCTTCCTGAGAAGGGACAAAGGGTTTGGAATAAAATTAGTCTGCATCTTAAGCATATCTGAAATAGATTTGTGCAGTTTTACAAATATATTAAATACTGTAATAAAATATTTCTTCCAAATAAAACCTCTTTCAAATCTTAATAGTGTAATAATTCATAAATATTCTGTATAATTCTACAGAATTATTAGACATGAACTTCCATCTTGTAGTAAAACATTCTGATGGTGCTTGAAGTGTTTGAGGTTACATGATAGTTTGCTAACAAAACTAAAGGCTGGCAATATCATGGCATTTACCAGGAATTGTGCGATAAAACATTGAAATGCTTGAAAAAACAATAAGCTACATGGAAGATTCAAAACCAAACATTAACTACAAAAATCATATTCATCTCATGAATACTGACAAACTTAGCTTTACCATCCAGCCTTTTCTGTCTAACTGTGGGCCTTCTCTCATAATTGATTGTGATGATTGAATACCATAGCCTCTTTTACAGGGTAATTACTGGCAGAGATTTGCTCATTTACATAACCTTAACTACAACATATTGATAAGAGTGTCTTTAACATACATAAGCTGGCAGAATTACACTACGTATATTCACAATATTTATTGTGAATTTTTATAGTTTCAAAATCTTAAATTATGTATTGCCTCATTGTACATACACAATCATTTAGTTTTTTGATAATATGAATACTTTCGAAGTACATAAATATTTTTAAAACATGATTCAGGTATTCATAAGCGGAAATCAAAATCTGATTGTTTCCATGATTTTATGAATTTCCATATTTTTTTTAAAATATGGAAAATAACATCAAAACAAAGAACATTATTAAAAAACAAGAATTCACATTTCATACTACAATGGCAAGTCGCATCTTGCCGACCAACCTTGGTACTCCATAAAATATAGGGCCTTTCTAGGTTTTAACTAGTGCTGTACCTCCTATTACAATTTCCCAATGTGCAATTTTGTTATAGTGTTCTTTGGTCTTGTAATACTGTACTTAAGATAATTGTCCTAAAGTTGCATGGTTTTTGCTTAAATTTCTGACAGTAATAACAATCCTTGGTTTCTCCTTAATTTTCAAACAACTTGTGTTCTCCATGTCATTAAGACCTACAAATATATTTACAAATATCCTGTTTTTTCCCAAGGTAATTTTTAAGACTATGGCAAACTCTGTTATTCTTGGTACTGTACTCATAAGGCCCAACAAAAGTACAGGCTATTATAAGTACTTCATTACAGTTGGTTAAGGAAAGGACATCATTTAAGTAAATCCTTGCCAGAATGATTCAATACTACTTAACTGAAACCTATAATTCCACTTTCATTCAAAACTGTCACAAATGATTGACATGGAATCATGGCAGATGATCAAGCATCACTGATGTATCATGATTGACAGCTAAAGTGTTATGGCAGATAGACTGTGTCACGATTAATGTCATAATTTTATTTAATGGCACATAGTTTCATTTCCGACATTTCCTTGATAGAGGGTTCAACTCATTAAAATTCAATTGGTTTCTGCAATTAGGTCTAGATATGAACATGATCACTTCTGCAGAGGAAAGAAAAGAAAGACCTTAGCTAGTGTATACAATTACTGAGGGGATTTCATTTGACAAAGCAGTTAAAAGCAATCCTTATTAAACAATATAGGTGCAAGATACATAGATACATGTGACCATTTAACTTATGTATAATCAAAACTAGAAATTGATTAAATCTGTGTCACATGGGTCAATATTAATCCTAATAAATAGGCACTTTAATGGAGTGTTTGAGGATTTTTTCCCCAAATTCACAGACAGATCTTCTGTGTATACTGTGTTATTTCCAACAACACAAGATGATATACAGTTAAACTTGCCTAACTCAAATAATTTATAAGTCAATCTTATTTTACACATCAAGTTGTGTATTCCATTAATTAATGATCTGTAATGATTCGACATAGGCAATTTCAACTATACAACAATGGAATAATTCCACATCTGAAATATTTAAATGATTAACTTACTTATTTGCACCTACTGCTGATAGTGATAGTTGTTTTTCCCAGACTTCACCAAGAGATTCTGGATGTCTTAAATTCTTGTGTAATCCTAATTCGTAAATCTCATATGCATATTTCATCTGTAAAATATGGTAACATTTTCATTCTGTTGGTTATTCTTTTTTCTGGCGGGCATGATAACCAACTGTCAACTGCCGGGCACTCACACACGCAACGGATCGTTTTTAATGACGACCTGTTCAGACTGCCACCGACAATCAGCAGACGACGTTGTCGCTGTAGGATGTAGTGAGTCCCCGGACTAAGACATAAGATAGTAGTGCCTGTTATGCCATTGCATCTGTGACGAACAAGCACTATTCTTATCAGACTACACTTTCTCAGCTTTTCACAACTTTGAATTTAAGCATTACAAATGAATCAGAATCACAATAAATTTATTATCTCCAAATGAAGAAACTGAATGCTTGATAAAATTAAAAACCTTGCATATAAAAAAAACATTCAAATATAATACAATAAAAAGTACATCACTAATTCAAAACATCAGATACAAAAATCATTTCATGTTACGGTATTTACCATCAGTCATTGCATCTTAAATATTAATTGAACATGGAGAGAGAATGGAATTCATGCCAGGATGAGCCATTACCTGTAGTGCACATTGCCTCGGAGCCATGTTTCCAAATGATGTGGCTAGACCTGGACACAGTACTGAATTTATTGGATCATTCTCAGGATTTTTATTGTGTTTATTCACTAAATATGGAAAGAATAAATAATTTGAATACAGATAAAAAGAATTCATTTAAAAAAATAATTTTTCTCTGACAAATTGATAGCATTTAAAAAACTCACCTTTTAAAATAACAGCTCTGAATGCGAGATAAGCATTCATTGTATTTGATACATCCATCGGTACACGCATTGTTGGCGCTGATATTAAGAATTTGATTGGAATATCCTGGTTATACCCTTGCCATGATGATTGTTCTGTTTTTCCGAATACACAGTGCTCATGTGTAGAAAGGATTAAGGCATCTCCCTGTTGTAATGAAATATCAATAAAAATTATCCAAAAAATATAGTTTAATATTTATACTAGCCTATTTACATTCTATATATACATATTGATAATAATTAAGTCCACACTATCAAATGTTTTGTGCCCATATATGGGCATCATTAATATCCTATAACACCCATGTATGGGCAAAACACAAATATTTGTCACTTTTGTATTAAGGACTAAAATAAATTGGGTAAATACAACAGTAAACATCTCATGGATAAAATTAAAGAAAAGGCAGCAGCTATTGTTACACCAGTCTTTATGAATTGCTAATTCTGATTGGATATTATTGTATGTATGGACTGAATAAGGACAGTAACATAAAGTAAAGAAAACATAATTAAAAATATATTTTGGAAGATTCGATGCTAAGTTTGGTATTGCTAAATCATTAACTGTAGAATGTGATGCAATATATCCCAGATATTGATTAACACTTACCACCAATAACTCTCCATCTTTTTCATTATCAATAGTTTCTTGTAAACGACTCATTCTGTATTAAATACATAGTAATATTAGAAATAGTAATACTGGACAGGGTATTTTAATTATGAATAATCTTCATTCAAAGTTTTCTTACTACTCTGATTATATAATCTACATCAATAATTTACATTATTATATTCATTGTTGTTGTTAATATTTTCTGTACTACTATACTATTATTAGATGATAAAAAAATACTAATGATAACTCACAGTTGAAGTCCAAAGTGTCTTGAATAAGCTAATTCTATACCACCATCCATAAATCCAAAACTGTTTGCTGGTGATACCTATACATTCAATGAATATTGTTAATTACACAAGTCAATTATTATCATTACTATTATTATTATTATGATTATGATTATTAATATTATTATTATTATTTTTATTTTTATGCGCCAGTGACAAGACAGTTTTTGTTCGCTTTAATAGGCACTTTAAAAATGTGTATTATTATTTATTATTATTATTATTATTATTATTATTATTACTTAATTCAATTTTTCATTTCAAGAAAGTCATAATAAAGCATAATGATGTGAAGTTACAGTGACTTATTAAATTGATTAAAATACTAAAAGCAAATTGAAAGAATAAGTATAGAATTCTTTTTTAATGAACTCACTATTGCGTCTGTAGCTGGAGCATCTTTGAATATGTCACCTTCACTAACCTAGAGAAGAAAATTAAATTTAAAAAAAGAAACAATTATGAGTACTCTACAGTACTGTACTGCTGGTATTAAAGTATACATAAGAGTGAACAGTACTTCATTGTAATGTGTACAATTATTTAATCTAAAATTTGCTATTGACTGATGTTGACAAAATATAATTGAAAATAAGATTATTTTGATAATTGAAAAAATTCATTAAGCAATTAACATGTATTCTAAAATTGACAATAATTAATCCTTACCACAACATTTTCATGAGGTGCAAATATATCTTGCCATGCCTTCACCAATTCTGTGTTAATATCTCGTAATTGATAAGAAACAGTTATTGGTTCACGTCGCTCCTCTTTCTTCTTTTTTTTAATAATAAACAGCTTCTCTTCCTTCTTATATGTTGCATCTGTCAATATTACATCCATATCTATAAATGAAAACAACATATTAAAACCATAATGTTCTAATGTTGAAAATTGACAAAAATTATTATCCAATATAATGTAAAATATAATCTTACTTTATAATCAATCATGAAATTAGCTAGAAACATAAAAAATTGAAATGTTGCAAATATTTTTTTAATTATTTTTATAAGAAAGGCATTTTAAAACAAAAATTATGAAAATCGGACCAGTATCAGCGGAGATATTGCAATTTTAAGTACGTTTTTTCCCGGAGTTAATTCCTATTGTTTTTATTATCCAAGAAATGTGTCCCTACAGTGTGTAGCATTTTAGGCCATGTTAATTACATTGTATTTATCAGTATTTATTTATGTAACATCACATTGTATAATTACTATACATAATTAGTTATGTAATTATTAAGTTAGGTCAGCGGTCATCATCACATGTCAAAAGTCACCGTTTCTGTTTAAGGTCAAAGGTCACCGGTAAAGGTCAAATGTTTAAATATGAATTAATATTTTTCAGAGTGGAAATTTGGGTAATTAGCGAATTTTAAAATTATTTATTATGCACTAATATTAATATTACTTTATATTATTGCCATAATTATTGTTAACCATTATTATTATTATTAATTTCATTACTAAAAGGGCATTGTCAACTACTTTTTTTTTTTTTTTAATTACACAAGGCAGCAATCATTGATCAAATCTCTTTTGGGATATTTAGAGGTTCTGAAAAGAACCGTTTGTTTTGTAAAGCGTTGCCCATCATTTTCTTTTTTTCTTTTTTTCCAGATTCTCCAGCTAATGTTGAATTAACATCAGTCCCATATGACTACTTAATCTCCACTCTTCATATCTGCAACAATTTCATTGGTGTCCAAATAATAATGATCCATTTCCTTTGTTAGGGGGTCCACATATACAATCTTGAATTCTAAGTCGCTTCCGTATACTCACCTATAGTGCATTTGTACCATGTGTCAGATACGATTCCATCATTCTCATTTGACCACAAATGAGCTATTTTCTTTTCCAGGAGAACTGGGGGGTCCATTATTATGTTCTTTATGTGCAGATCATCTAAATCTTCTGAGGACATCAGAACAGATAAATTTTCTTTTAATTTATCAACAGAAAATTGTTTTCTTTTAAAAGAAAAACAGAACAGGGATGCATTTGCCTTCTGATTTAGAATCTTCTTACGTACATTCAGTTGGGCCTTCAATGCAATCAACTGCCTTTTGTTGGACGTCAGGGCCTCCAAATTTGAATCCATGCTGATATCATCTTGCCATAGTCCACCATACTGCATTAAGTCATTTAGTAGGTTTTCATTGAGCAGCCTAGCCCTATCTTCTTTGTTGACGATTTCTTTCCGTTTTTCATCAAGATGCTGTCTTTTTTGGACAGTCAATGTCTCTCTTCTCTCTGCATCTATTTGCTTACTTTTTAGGCACAGCATTCTCGCCTTCGACAGTAGCTCCTCTCGTTCATCCACTGACTTCTTCGCCAACCAATCTGACGTCTTGTTTGATTTATAGACAATCTTACTCTCAATATAACTTAAGCTTGCATTTGGTGCTCTCCTGACATAGTGGTCTAGTAGCCCAAATACTCGTTCTCCACTGATGTTGTTTCCTACACATGACCTGGCTTGCTGTTGTAATGCTTCACTTGGATCATGATGTATGCCACCAGGCAGCTGATCATCAAGTTGTCTTTTACATACATCGAGAATAACATCTAGAAGTTTCAACAACAATGTTTCAACTTGCTGATCATTTTCATGAGGTGTAGTTAAGTTATCGAAGACAGCATCTTTGATTACTGGAACATCGGCAAACAAGCATTCTGCTTCGCCTCTTACAAGTAAGGATGCGTTAACCTTCCAATTTTCCATTCTTTCAACAGCTAGCGTAAATGGTGTATTTAAATCAAGAATATTCTGGTTCCTTTCCACCAGCCTCATCCAAGGACCCGACACATATTTACCTATTAGGCCAAGAGCTCGGCATCCTGTTGTGTATTCAGACGTCCTACTATCAACCAACACAGCTCTCTGCAAGTCATTCGTTGGCAGCCACACTTTGGTCAGGAATTCCACAATGTGGGGCAATAGGAAGTGAACTGCTCCTGCATTACGATACAAGATGTGGAACCTGTTTCCCATCACAGGTGATAAGACATCAGTAACTTTTATCCCTCTGCTCTTTAAAAATACATCTATTTCAGCTGGAACACCAACAGCATTGTTGAAGCAAAGCTTGCAGACGCCAGCAATGAAACTTTGAGCACCACTTAAGCTTCTACGTCGAAAACACATTGCTCTGTGTTCAGCTGGTAGAATCTCTTGCTCCCATGTTGAAAGAGATTGGTTACAGGATTTTGCAAAGGTATCCAAGGGGTGCATTCCGCAAAAAAATTCATTTAGATGTTTGCTACCATCTGACATAGAATCAACTAGTTCCTTGTTGACAGCCTTGTTTACACCACAGCGGTCCGTCATTGTGTTTGTGATTGTGTCCAGGATATGCTGTTTAGATGCTGAGCCTCCTGTTGCCTGGCTTGCTGCTCCTAGATCTTCAAATGTTTGTAGTATCCCCTGGGTGTTGGCTGCAGCTGTCCCAGATGGTAGCCTGGTTATGCCAGTTGTGTATGTGGCATCTTTATCTGAAATTTGCACCTCCAAGTAGTGAGTACGCTTTTTGTTTGTGCCATCATACTTTAGAGTTGTGTCCGTTGCTGACTTTAAAACCTCGCTAACTTGCATTCGGGATAGCTCTCTCATTTCCCGCAACATGCGCAAACAAGACATTGCATCCGGTAAAACTCCAATTTTTAAGCCAGCAAGTTCTTCAACTGCATAGCGCAGTACATGTGGAATGTTCCTTGCTGGAACCTCCTGCTCAAGGCAAAAGTAAACTGCATTCCGCACAGGCCAGTTGAATGTTTTACCATCTATTTTGGTGGCTATCTCTCTTGATGACGATGCTGTAAACACTGCAATTTCTTGGTTTAGCTTGGTGTTTTCATCCTCTAACCATCTCAAATTCCTCTGTAGTACCACAACTTTGTTTCTTACTTTAACTATGTCTGATTCCAGGTTTCCAGTTTTCTTATTATATTCACTTGTTTGTCTGTATTTCTGTTTCTTTATGGATGATAGTTGACCTTTCAGGTTTGTCAGTTGTTGATCTACAGGTGTTGATGGTTGTCTCATAGTTTTCTTCATTTTTTGTACTTTTGCTTTTAAACACTTTATCTGCATATTCTTTCGTCTAATTGTCTGGTTCAATCGTTTGCAGCTACCTATCTTTTTCACAACAACTTTCGGTTTAATCTCCAGTTGTCTCTTTAGATCCACTATTGAAGCTTCTAACATCTTCACCTCAGCCGCCAGCTTTTCATTTACAGTAAACTGCATCTCACAATCTTTACAAGAAGACAGATGAACTTCTTCACATCGACGTTTAACAGCTTTCTTCTTGTTTGTGTTGGGTACAGGAATGGCAAACCTTTCAGATAAAAATGGATCCAACTTCGATTTGTTTCTGCTCTTTAAATTCTGTCGCATATTCTTGATAACAGTAATCTTCCCTCGCAGCGTACTGTCTTTAATATTACTCACGTCAACATCGTTTTGCTCTAGGATCTTGAGTAACCAAGTGCTGTGTGTAGCAATTGGCCGCTTAAGTTTCAGCACAACGTCTCGCATTTCAAGCACAGCACCATTAGTTAAGTGTCGACCATCGAGCCTACAAGTGCCATCTTCCTCAAGACTGGATAAATTAATCCCTAGTGCATCTGAATACTTACCTATATAATTTGCATCTTCTTCCATGCTTTTACAAAATTTAAAAAAAATCAAATGCAATGATCATTCATTCTAAATATTTGTTTACTTACAATGTATACTAGCAATTACATGTTGTAATTAAATAATTCATGATTGCAAATTATTATTGTCTATTTATAACATAAACAGAATAAATGATGCATTTAGATGAATACTGTACCTTGTTTAAAATGTAATGAGGATCATCAAACAGCACCAATAAAAAAGAAACTTAAAATGCTAAATATATAACAATTTAGTATGATTTGTTTAATTATTCATACCATTATAGTTACATAAAGTTAACAATGTAATACTGAGATTACAGTATTAATACAATTTGTTTTATAGAACTATGCCTACAGTTAATATATTAATTTCTTAAGACATAAATTGTCAATAATATGAGTTTAACCCATTCATATCTATGCTTTAAAAATATAATTATTTTTATTAATTAGTAAATAATAATTAACTAAAATTATTTCTACAAGAGTAATAAAATTATGTTTGTTAACAATTGGAAGATAATATTTATGTAAATATGTGGCAAAGACAAGCCATACCAGTCACTCGTCGCAAAAATCGATTTTGAGTTATTAATACAGTGTTAGAGAGTAAAATAATAGCTATAAAATGGTAAAAAAATCATTCAACTCGGACATTTCCTTATGAAGTTACAAGTGTTTAAACACACAGCTGTTTAAAGAACAATATATGAGAAATAAGCCTTCAAAGTTTATGATTTCAGGCATTTCTCATGCAGAAACTATCTTTAAATCCTTAAAAAGTGTTATTTTAACATTGAAAATTGGGAAAATAACAGCATAGAATGATGTGTACATATATAAAGGTTAGTTTAGTGCAATAAAATAGATTTTTTTAAATTTGACATTCCAGTTTGTTTTGGCCATTTTCTCTGAAACACAATTTGCGACGAGCGACTGGTTTGGCTTGTCTTTGCCACATATGCTGTTATATAGTTTTTATTAAATTTAGGGAAAAAATTATTTTAATTTATTTATTTCTACAAGAGTAATAAAATTATGTTTGGTAATAATTGGAAGACAGTAAAATATTTTACCTAAATAAGCTGTTGTATAGTTTTGTAAAATTATTAAAACAAAAAAAAACAAAAACAAAAAAATTGTTTTTTATAAATAAGTTTATGATTTTTTATCTAAAATAATACTTGACAATTACAAACGTTTATAATTTATATAAACTGATAGATTCTACGTAAAATAGATAGAAATCTCCTAACTCTACACTAGGCCTAACTGTAGGCTCGGACAACACGGTAGCCAGCAGGGAAAACATCGTTTACCCCGCGTGTAGCCGCCGTAAAAATTATCAAGGGGCGCTCTCTATTCGTTGGAGCCGAACCTAGCTCCAGTACGCGACAAGGTAATAGAATATGATATTTCAGAAAATCTTTTTAAATTATTGGTACGACAATTACAGGGTATTATTTAAAACTTGCTTACCTTTATAGTTTAAAAACTGAAAGAAAAAAAACCTGTTAACAAAAAAACTAGTGAAGGATTTCTTCTATTCTTGAAAAGCGTCAAAACATTTGTTGTAAAAAAAAACTTTTACCGAATCGATTCGCGCGCTTGAAAAAAACATTTTTTGGCTCAGAATTTATTTCTGGAGAGTTATCCGGAACTATTTCGGCCAAATTGTGATATATATCCGCGAAATACCCAATTAATACATTGGGTATCCTATATCCGTCGGAGCACTATTTTCTATCGCGATGTTTGGAACTATGAAAAACAGCGTCCCCTATCGGTTTTGTTTCTAGCTAATGAAATATTCATACATATCAAAATGGTTTTGTTTTTGTAGTTTAGGTACTGCTTTTCAATCCCAAGGGCTAATTTGTAATTTTCTATTATAATTTATATTTAATTAAAATACACGCCATCGTGTTGGGATTCAATATTTCGACATAATTATGTCATCATCAGGAATGATATTTAATTGTTCTATTATTAGGGGTAGCTGGCTCATCTGAATTATAGCAATGTACTTTGCTTAAAGCCCCATTCCCGGCAAAATTTCAGTTTTTAAAAAAAATCTAATTTTTGTATAATGTTATGAAGATTTATAAATATAATACGGAATTGCTAGTTTAACTGAATTCAGACATTCCTAAGAATGAAAAAAATGTAAAATAAGACTGAAATTTGATTTTTTGTGTATTGTGAATTTTCATGTTTGATTTTGCGACAGGTCGTGAGAAGAAATATTGTAGGCGCCGAAAACATTAGCCTATCCAACGCTGCTAGTCTAGGCCTAGCCTTACCTCGATTTAGGTTCTGTTATCACACAAAAAAACGGCCGACATGATATTTTCCGTTGCTAGTAATGACACTTGTGAAATATAATATTTCATAGGAATTATTTCAAATTTGTTAAAAAACTGATTCTGACTGAGATTTTGACACTTATCGACCGAACGAACGCATTGTGCGAGATACGAAGTACAAAAACTAATCTCATTAGAGAGGGCGCACTTTATTGACTGTATAAAGTATACATAAAAGCGAGAGTATTCCAATGGATGCGATCTACAAAAAAGTCAGTTTTTAGTGAAATTTTGCCGGGAATGGGGCTTTAAGTTACCCCTGTCCAGCATTTCAATTATTTTTAAAAATAAATACATATTAAAATGAATTACTACTGCAAGAAAACACTATACTACCAGAAACACAAACTTGCTGCAAAAAAATGGTAAGTTAAGAGGAGAATAATCTAACTAAACTAAGCCTAGGCCGCCTAGGCCAAGGTGCTGATTGAGTGCTGGAGCTGCTCAATCATGTAATCAAGATCGAGAATATTATCATCAAGAGTTAAATTAGAGCGCTAGCCTAGGCCCCCTACAGTATTTACCAACGAATACCATATTGCTAAAATTGACTGATGTTAAAATACCTTAGTTTGTTACTTGTTATATTGGGGAGTTGACTTTAAACTATTGTAATCGTAATGCTTACCTTTAAATGAGAAAAAAATCAAATTACAATAAAATTTCACTAGAGAAAAACAGCACGTAGTCGACGGACAGCCACTGAACTTTAATGACCCCCATATATTTCTTTTCCGGGTCATCAAATCCATTCTATAACAGGGGAGATTGTTTTAATTGTTTGGTAACTATTAAAATGATACAGTTTCATTCACTAACTTTATGGTTTATTTCAAATTAATTTATAATAATAATGGTACACTGTAACCCTTAAATAATATATTTCAAAATATGATTATGTATAAAACTTAATTTTGTGGTTAGATTTTTCTTGTTAAATTGCACACCCTGTACAGAATATGGGGGAACTACCCTTTTGGAAAATTTTTAACAAGATGGCGGCGTCCATGAGTACTTCGAGGAGAATTCCTAAGGTAAATTAACTGCAAATAACTAGATATCAATTACAAAATACACTAATAAATTATATATAGGTCTAGAGTCTAGATGCGGTGTAATAAGCATAGGGCCTAGGTGTAGTATCTAGCTTACTGACTAGGCCTAGGCTTAACTTAGCCTAGACTAGGCCTAGAGAGGCCTTATTTCTTAAAAAAACTAGCCTAGGCTAGGCTTGGACCCTAAGAAGTCCTACGTCGTCGACCTGGCTAGGGCAAGGCTTTTTTTTGGCTGGGGCTCGGCTCATTTTGGTAACACTCTAGCTAGACTAGGCAAGCGTACCTCACAGTCACAACACATATTATAAAACATTTTTACATGATTCAACCACTTACAAAGTACATTTTTTTAACAAAAAAGAAACCTTTATAAACACAGGTTGATACAGGGTTTCCGCGCTTGCTAGCACGATGAGCTGTACTAATTGCAATCAATTAAAAATTGCCAGAATGTCTGAGTCATTCCTTAAATTTTGAAAGAAAAGCCCAGTCTTATATAAATTTTAATCAGAATTTTCCCATGGAACATCCGACAACAAGATGTGGCATCATGCAGTACCATCTTTTTGAACTTTCTTGTCGTAAATTAGGTGAATCGAACCGACTTTTATCATTGGCTTTGATAGTTGTTTTGCTGGATTAGGCCTAGGCTCTGTTTGTATATCTGTGTACATATTTGGATCATTACTAATTTTTGTAATTATTGTACATGTGAATGTCATGTGAACACACATACAGTAGTCAAACAACACCACCATACAATATAACGCATAAATGAAATGATATACAAATGCAAATAGTTTTCATAAACATTTAATTAAAAAAAACTTTGCGCTGCAAACTCAGACATTCTGGCAATTTCTTACTGATTGCAAAATGGCTGCTGCTCGTCGTGCTAGTGAGCACAGAGTTGCTGTACTTATTTGTGGGATTACTTGTTGAAAAAAGTACTTTGTGAGTGGTAGAATCATGTGAATATGTTTGTTAATTATATGTTGTGACGGTGAGAAGAATATTGAGATAAAAAATTATTTAAGTATTAAAATTTAGGTGCGAAAGTGCATTAGCGCCAAAGATAAATGGCTTTTTATCCCAATAAAGTGTAAGTGATGAGGTGAGAGAGGTCAGTGAATGCTGATGATAGTGATATTGCATTTTTTTTTGTGTACTAAAAAAATTAGTAAGTTTGTTCAGTACTATTATTGTTTTATGTATTTTGCAGTTATTTAGAATATGCCAAGGTTGTTCAAGAAGGTTTACCTCTGTAGCTGGTTTGAACGTAAGTTGCTCTTCCAAAGATGTGTTTTCACACTTTCATACTAATATAGTTTAGGATTTTCTACATGTATTTATTCAAATGTCTGTACTGTCGTATAAGAGAATAATTGTGAACCATTAATTAAATATGTTTGTCCTTTAAAAATACTGCTTAAAAGCATAGCTGCATTCATCAAAATAGCTTTTGTTTGATGTTGTATATGTTTTATCAATTTATTAATACCTGTGTTATAGGATGTAGTTATAGCTAGTGCAGTTCGTACACCAATAGGCTCCTTTGGTGGAAGCCTTGCATCTGTACCAGCTCCTAGACTTGGAACTATCGCCATCCAGGCAGCTATCGAGAAAGCAGGTTAGTTATATTCAGTTTTTTAGGTTATTTCTAAACAATGGTAACGGTCATTTTCCAACGTTTTTTGAAAGTGGCTACGTCTTAAAGCTCTTGTTGCTACTTACTGTAGCCTCCTTCCATACAATGTATTTGTTTCAATTTTTTTTTTGCATTCTTAATTTATATTGTATTACTTTATTTTATGGAAAATAAAAGTAGATTTGGTTTCTGTATACCTTGGAAAAATTATATGACTGAATGAATGCCCGAGTAGATAGGTCATACAAAGTACATTAAGTTATTTAATAATAAATAGTAAGTTTACATTGAAATTTATCATATTTGTAAAGGCAATGGAATTATTTTTTAGAAGTATCTAACAATGTGGTGTTAGTCAGTGGTGGCTCCATAAAATTGCTGACAAGAATCCAACAGGAGGATTTGAATTAAGTGGCGGACTAGGACCTCAGTGCGAGTCCTGAAAAAAAAATCTGATGGTGTTCAAGGAAGAGATTTTATGGTTTACTGTGACACAAGATTGTGCTTTTAGGCCACAATATTAATATTATGGATCGCTAATCACAATAAGTTTGTTTGGATTAGCAAGTTAAAATTATAGTTCAGTGACCTCATTGTGTTGTGTTAACTTTATATTTACTTTTGTTTTCTTAAATTATTAGGGATTGCCAAAGAACAGGTTAATGAAGTGTACATGGGAAATGTCCTGCAGGCCGGGGAAGGGCAAGCACCTACCAGACAAGCAGCTTTAGGTGCCGGTAAGCTATTTGCTCACAATAAACCTCCATTACATTTTGTATCTGAAATTCTTTATCTTTAATTTGCATTTTTTGTCTCCATCTATACAAATATGTATATTATTGTATCAAGGACTTTATGCATTGAACCAAAAAAAATCTTATTTTGAAAAAGCTTTATTGTCGAAATGCTTTATTACCAAATATACTTTTATTTATGCAACTTTACTATTGTATTTGATGAATATGTTTAAAATTAGTGCAACAAACAATATATTTTCAAAATTTTATTTATCAGGTCTTCCATTGAATACCCCTTGCACAACAATTAATAAGGTTTGTGCATCCGGCATGAAATCCATCATGATGGCTGCTCAGAGTCTCATGTGTGGACATCAGGTTAGTAACACCATACATTATGAAAATAATAGTACAGTAGAACTCCCTATTAAGAGGACACTTTCGGGGGACAAAAAATATATCCCCTTAATAAGGTTTTTCCTGAATAAGAGTTGGCATAGTGTTAAAACATATACCATCTCTCATTTAGTGCCCGAAAAAAGTGTCCCCTTAATAGGGGTGTCCCAAAGGAGGGGTTCTACTGTAGTTAAGAATAATTTAATAATACTTACATGATTGTTGATATTGATGTCAATAATAAAAATGGAATTCGTGTCGGAAAAGAGCAGGTGGTAGCCACTGTTTGTGTGCTGAATTCTGGAGATCCATTGTTAACATTATATTTGCATTACTATTTCAACATTTTTAATTTTTTGTCTTCTTATTACTGTAGGAAGTGATGGTTGCTGGTGGGATGGAATCGATGTCAAATGTTCCATTTACGATGAGTCGTGCAGCCCCCTCCTATGGAGGTCACCGTCTGGAGGTAAGCTATTTGAAATGTAGGTAGTGACAGTGTAAGCTACAAACTTTTAAATTTCCACATATCTGTCCATGTAGCTGTTGACTTAACATATAGGTATTAACTTATCTAATAAATTAATCCTCAAACTATAAACTAAGCAACTATCTATTGTGAACACAGCAATACAAGATAGTATAATACATACTCCATGTATCAAAATGCATGCCATCGTGCTGGGATTCAATATTCATCCATGAATCAGACAACTTAGTTTTAAAAAGTTTTTGAAAACCAATTTGTTTCCAGCAATTTATATTTGATTGTGAAATTTTTAAACTTCATCTTTGTAATAATTTTAGGTATAATGTTTAATGATATTCCATTGCTCTTTAAACCTGAACTTTAATGATTTGCTCTGGTCTCTTTTGAAGGGCGTCTAATAAGTGGTTATTATTATTGATATTAATTTCAAGACATGTTTTGCATTGTGTTTTTCAGGATGGTATTGTAAAGGATGGCTTGACTGACGTATACAATAAATTTCATATGGGAAACTGTGGGGAGGATTGTGCAAAGAAGTTTGAAATATCACGGGAACAACAAGATGACTTTGCTATCAGCTCCTACCAGAAAAGCCAGCAGTCAGCTGCAGTAAGTGTTCTATAAGTTTATGGCTATTTTGTCTGACAGATTTTTTTTATCTTGATTTTTTCTGTTGAAACCCACCAAACATAACCCACCCACAAAAGTCTAAAGACTTATTTCCATTAGTAGTGCACATGAATCATCTGCTCTTTTTCAAAAATTGTACAGTGTTCTTTATATTGGTCATAGTGCACGCAAGACCAACAACTTCCGAAAGATGGTGCATTATTGAATGTTCATTAACTGTCTATATCCATTTATTTGTTTGTCTCATATCTTTGTTCCCATCTTTGAATAAATGCAATAATGTATATTTATTTATATATGAGTTACCTATCTATCACACTCTGGTAGTCCATCATTTGTTATGAAAAATATTGATCAATGCAATAATTCTGTTTTTATCCAAAGGATGGTATTTTTGACAAGGAATTAACAACTGTCAGTGTGCCGCAAAAAAGAGGTACAGTAACTTATAATATAAATATAAATTATAAATATAATTATAAATTATAATTATTATTTTGTGTTCTTCAAAAAAGACTTGGCAATAGTGTAAACATATAACTTCATTCATTTGCTTTTACAATGGCAAGACTCTGTAACAGTACCAGAGCTGCTCCATCAGTGCAGTTCTTATACTGTACTTTAGATTCTACCCGTTTACATCTGAAGTTGCCATGAACATTAAATTCATTACCTTCTCTTACCACAAGAAGCATAGTTTCTCTCCTCTAACACCCCCCCCCCCCTTCTATTATCATTCTGTTTAATATGAGAATTCAAAAATTATTTAAAATTTCCAGCTCCACCATGAATACAGTAATAGCAGCATTTAAAATGAATGTTTAACTGATTGTTTTATGTTCCACTTAATAGGCAAAGCTGATGTAGTGATTTCAAGTGATGAAGAGTATGCCAAAGTTAATTTTGACAAGATCAAGACACTGAGAGCTGTCTTTGAGAAGGATGGTAATGAAAGACATTACATATCTAGTGGCCTCAGTTCCCCCTCCCCTTTTTCGGTCTCGACTGTACTAATAAGAAAACAAAGGAAGAAATTAAACCTTCTTGCAAGCCTTCAGATTTAGTGTAATGATATAATAATTACTACACATAAGGTACACATCTTCAAATATATTAAAGTTGTAAGACCACCAATCTTAAATCTGAATCTAATAATAATGTGTTTATAACTTAGGAACTGTGACTGCTGGCAATGCCAGTACCCTCAATGACGGAGCATGTGCATTAGTGTTGATGACAGCTCAAGCTGCTGACAGGCTTGGAGTTAAACCATTGGCAAGGATAGTCAGTAAGTCTCTAGATTCTTTCAAGTGCTATAATAATGATAACCTAATGTAATGAATTGGTTGGTTTTTTTGGTTTTCTGTATTGTGTAAAACATGCCAAGGATAACCCATGCAAATCTTAAGACGTATTTCCATTGGGGTCCCTGGTAATGAATAAGAGGGTAATAATATAGAGATTTATAACGCGCCTTTTGCCAAGGGACACAAGGCACTGGCGATGTTGTTATTATTACCCCTGGTTGGATCCATAATCAAACCAGCATAAAGTGTAACCTCCTCCACTCCCCAGGGAGTCTTCCTAGTTGTACATACAATTTAATGCCGAACAGACTAATACTTGCAATGCCACATCATCCTACCAAGTACCTATTTATAATAAAAATATATATAAGTAAAATGCCTTGCCCAAGGACACAACCAATGCGACAAGCGCCGGTGTCGAACCCCCGATCTCACCATCAGAAGTCCATCACCCTCTTACGTAGCATTCTTGAATATGCACTGGGCCATATTGCACATGGGGGTTAGCATATTATATATCTCGTCAGTGCACTAGTATTTCAGCCTCCAGATGGAATTGAACTGAGAACTTGTGTAAAAATCTTACAGTTCAGTGCAGGCACACATCTATCATATGTGGGTAGAGTGGACGTCAAGATGGACATTTTACAGCATCAGTAACCATTCTCTTTCAATTTCAGGTTTTGCTGATGCTGCTGTTGCTCCGATAGAGTTCCCAATTGCTCCAGCATACGCTATGCCAAAGGTTAGTGACCGGTTGATACAAAACTATACATTATTTACAATGGTTTGTTGTAGAAAAATGTTTGAGGTTAATACTTTGATGTTTTATTGGGCAGGCATTGAAGCTAGCTGGTTTGAGCCAGGATGACATCAGCATGTTTGAAGTCAATGAAGCATTCAGTGTTGTCGTATTGGCAAACATCAAAGCGTTGAACCTTGACCCAGCAAAGGTGAACATCCATGGTGGAGCAGTCAGTATTGGACATCCCATTGGGTGAGTACACAAAGTCAACTCTTGCCCTCACATAATCCTGGGTGGATAGTGACACCCATTGGAAAACTGCATAGGACAAAAGCAAAATTCTTAGCAAGTGTTTGAGAGACTGAATATCAACATTACCACTACTTTTTTCCGCATGTTTCCTTGATAGTAAATGAGCTGTTACGATACGATAAAACTTAATTGTAGAGAGTGACTTTGCTCAGTCGATTAAGCCAGTGGTAACCACTGTGTGTGCGCTAAACCGTGGAGATCTCTAGGTGCCCGGTCCAATTCCCATCGCTTCTCTCCTTATGTTTCAGCTGGAGAGCTGAAATGCAAGTTACGATAGCGCACTGTCTTTCGGATGAGATGTTTAAGCTGTTGGTCCCGTGTGCCTTATGGCCCTTGTGCACGATATAGAACGCAGTATACTCTTCGGAAAAGAGTAGGGGATTGTCTCCTGGAGTACTGCCCAATTCACCACCAGAAGGACCCCACTGGAAATAAGTCTCCTCGGTGTGATTCTCGCCAAAAATACTCCTATCCTATCTCCTGCAACGGTATAAAGTTCAGCTATGAGATATGGTTCCTTAAAATATACTCATATCAGTAGAACAATATAGAAATTGAATTAAATACCTACAAGTTGTACTACAAGAATTGTTAAGACTGATGTTAAAACTGTCAATCAAAACCTAATATTCCAAGGACTACTGAGTTGTAAGGCAAAGGCAAGATTCTTGTTTCATCAGTACATTTTTCTTTTCTAAATGTATATATTTTCTTTTCTTTTTCAGAATGTCAGGTGCCAGAATCACTGGTCACATGGTACATAATCTCAGCCCAGGACAAAAGGGATTGGCCGGCATATGTAATGGAGGGGGCGGAGCTTCAGCCATTGTTATTGAAAGACTATGAGGAGGAAACTTGATTGTTCTGGAGAATATTGACTCTGCAATGGATACATTATTATTTATTATTTTTGATTTTAAATAAATCATAGATACTCATTTTCCACTTCGTTTTTCCATTAATGCTATTGTTGGAAGTAAAAAAGATTGAAACATATATTTATATACTGTACAGTAAGTACGTCTGTCTTGATTATTAGTAAACCCAATAAATAGGAATGCATGGTTAAACCATATCTCTTCATTTTTTAGTTGTATTTATTTCACCAAACTTGCAGTAATATTTTTATTGTCAGTCTTTATTATATAGTAGAAGCAGTTGGCGCATCAGTTGTGGCCTGGACTCCCAACCTTGAGGTCAGGGGTTCGAAACTCTCGTTGTGCAAATCGGTTGTGTCCTTGCCTTGGGCAAGGCATTTCATCTACAGTTGTCTCTCTCCACCCAGGAGTACAAGTGGGTACCTGGTAGGTTCGAACACAACTGCGCTGATTACTAGCTGCAATATTATGGAATTCTCCCCGGGGAGATGAGTATTTGTTCCATACGTGTTTGATCCAACAACCGGGGTAGTAATGTGAAGCGCTTAGGCTTTAGGCATGAAGTGCTATATAAGACCAACGTATTATTGTTTTTATTATTAGTTCATGCTCAATGCACTATTTAAGTATTATATTGCTCCAGGTAATGGGTCAATGTATTAAAAATACAAACTCAGTATAATAACAATATATAAATAAAATATAATGATCAGGGGCAGCATTTTCAAAAAATACACAGTGATGAATCCAGAAAGGCATCAATTCCATTCCCCCGTTCCTCATTCTGCCCCTAATATAAAAGTAATCTGCTTTTAAATAACTTGACTTGCACTTAAGTTACTGAGAGTTCCTTCCTTCCTAATGCCTACATTAGAACAGTAAGTGAATTGCCTCAAAATGGTCAGTTCACTTGTGTACCTTTATGTGCTATTGCACACTCAAAAAACTCACTCAAAAAATGTTAACTGACTGAACAAAAGATTGTGGATTATGTTTTTGGTCTGTAAAGTGTTTTCTACCTATTTATTGCTGTTCTACAAAATAAAGGAAAAGTAAAATTTAAGATTTATCTATATAGAAAAAAAAATAAATTAGTGAATGAGGATTGGAACACTACATACTGTTATTAAATGTTTACAAAGGAAATGGCTTTAACTTTCGTCTTTGTTAAGTCATAAGGTCATATATGGGTTACCATAGATCAATCCCTAGTGATGTAAGGGGATCAATTAAAAGGGAAAGCTTTTCATTGTGGCTAGTTCATAATTTATTTCCCTCCTTGATTAGGCCAAAGAGGATGCAGTGATCAATGGAAACCGGAATTGTGAATGAAATTGACCAATAAGAAGTATTTCCTAAACTTTGATAAAAGTGGGTCATCTTTGTTGGGTCATCTAGGTTGGTAAAGACCATCTGGCGCCCTCAGCGGCGTGTGCGAAGCACAACCATAGAGCTATTATTATATCTCTGAGCACAAATCAGAATTGAATCAGCAGTGGAACGTAAAATTTGGATATGGTTTTGTAGTCAGATTTGCGAGAAAATTTCAGCTACCCGTATTTCTCGACTGAGACGTCAATGGGAGCTGTAATTTGTATGGCAAGGAGATTGTGCTACCCTTAATTCGTATTTATGGAATTTACGCCAACAAACCTTGTAGTTATTAATATTTTGGTTATAATAAAAGTTTTCATTTTTTGTTGACGTCACACTCACAATATAGTTAGCATGCATACGTCATAAGATTACGTCACCTTTCCTGGTAAGGCAAACTTTCCCGGAGTGCTTTTTTCAAGTCCTTGTATAATACTTAAACAATGTACCCCCCGCCCCGCTACACAGTACAACAGTAGGCTAGGGCCTCCCTCCCCGCCCTACAGTGACGTATGCTAGACAACAGAACGTGATATTGCACCTTCCTTCCCAGGTGTTCATGTAACATTTGCATATTGTTAGCTAACCAGCTGCGTGTATTCCTTTGCGAAAATGATTACCGCGGCGTACTCATTTTCACAAAGCATCCCCTCTTGGAAAGAGTAAACGTCGAAATAACTGTCTCAATATCTTTGCTAATTAATCACCGTAATTTAGCTTACACTTATGCATGGAGGGAGCACTTAAAATGTACAATAATCATTTCACTACCCGACAAACCCCGTACTTTATTGATGCATTACATAAATAGTTTCATCTTGCTGTACACCAACATCACTGGCGCATGGTAAAAACCAACTGACTGCAGACCATTTCCAGTCACACATTACTCTCCATAACGCAGCACCCCTAGTTCCGTCACCTCTGGATTTTTCCTGGTGATTTGAAAGCTTCATTTGAAAAGGAAAGCTTTTAATTGTAATGTTCTAACTAACTACGAACTACAGGGTTTCCTCCTCTGACGAAATACTGTAGATAGCATCTACAATGCATGTGGAACCATGCATCAATACAATCTGGTATTGTGAATTAAATTACAAATTGACCATTAAAAGTGTTTTTGATAAAAGTGTGTCGACTATTGGGTCATATCTGAGTTGGTAAGGATCCCCATAGGTAATCCATGATGAAGAGGATCATTTAAAAGAGAAAGTTTGTTGAACTGTATGTGATTCTCTTCCATACTAAAAATACAAAAATGTAGCTAACATACATAAGAAATGGCACTCAATACTCTCTAGGGTTCTGAATGAAAAAATACAATTACAAATTGACCAATACAAACCTTTCCGTGTATGGAATAATTACTGATTAAGATTGTTAAATTCTATGAATTAGATAAGTAAAACTAAACCACGATCCCAAGTTTTATCTGTTCCAATTATTAAAGTAAGATTACTTTATCTCTTCTGGGCAGCAGTTACTCAAGTGTCAATGTTTTAAACATTTCTTGTTTTTTTTTTTTTTTTTTTTTTTTTTTTTTTTAGTATATGAGCACTAACCAGTGACATGTACTTAGTATCACTAGTAATGTACCAGGATTCATTAGAAAGAATTTAGAATACTTAGGCCTACTGTGTTGTAACACTTTTACAAGTCTGAATTTGTGTTAATTTGTGTTACATTTGTATTTCTAATACTATACTGTAGAAAGAAGTTTGAAAGATAGTTTTATTAAATTGCAAGAATCAGAATATATTATATTTTATTGGCAACAATTTCACAATTGTTAACTAGACATATTTTTTTCTATAACATAAAGAATTAGGCTAAACATTTTTCTGTGTCAAGGAATGGGGGTAAATGAATTCTAATAACAGCTGTTGTTGACTTAAAGAATCCATTACATTAATAAAGAAGAGAAATTATATCAAATATTTATGTAAATTGTAGATTTTGTTTTTGTTACACTTGGCGTCTGCGTCAGGGTAGACCTACATTATTTCAATTAAGACCGAGAGCTGTTAGGTAAACAGATTATGGGGTAAATGTATTCGCTAACCAAGAATCCATTAAGTAAATAAAAATGAGAAATTATATAAAAATTGTATGTAAATTGTAGGATTTGGCCTTGTCACATAGTGACATTAAGTGCTTAACCGCCTTAAGTAATGTTAATTCAAACGATATTTAATTTATTCATTATAGGCTTAATCATCAAAGAAAGGTAAATAGTGTTTGAATAAAGGACATGATAATACATTATCATGTCCTTTATTCAAACATTGTATTTACCTTTGATGATTTATATACAATTTAACAGTGTCAACGACTATCTTGATTTATATACAGTGGGTATATATTATATGTATCAACAATTGCCACTTAAAAAAGTTAACCACCTTAAATAATATTAATATTCAAATGATATTTAATTTATTCATTATAGGCTTAATTCGGGCATGATTCGCAGTATTTAATGGTATGAAAATGATGTTAAACCTGAACATAATCAGTATTTTCATGATCCTTGGGTATCAGTATAAAAAAAAAAAAACGACGCAATGCTCACGGTTTTGTTTTTCAAATTTGGACGATTTTTACCCTGCAAGTTTCCAGTTTTGTGTTCTGTGGCACCTGCAAACCTTACAAATTAAAAATCAGCACAAAAATTATTACTGAGTTGAAAAATAGCTCAATTTTTTGGCCAAAAGGGTAGTTGTTGCGATCCTTGTGGCAGACAAGGTACTACTTACCAATCAGAAACAAGTACACACATCATCAGATCTGGCTCGATTCATTAACCAAAAGATGACTACTGTCGACTAAGAAAATAGAAAAAGTGCGCGGATCCAGTAGTGGGGGGAGGGGGAGGGCATGTGGGCATTGTGTGCCCCGTTTTGCCACTAAATTTTAAAAATTTCAATGCATATCAATGTTCTACTCTCATATATATCCTGAAACCGTTGTTCCCCTGTTTGAAAAATTCTGCATCCACCCCTGTTAACATCAATTATAGGCTAATTAATTATCTTGGTTTATCCCACAGGACCCCAGTATACTGCCCTGTCGTCAAGCGAACACCTGCATGTGGAGGCCTTCAGGAGACAACTGTGCTGTCCCGTTGGGTCGTGACAAAATGCGAGCCAGCGAGCAAGCCATGCGAGCCATACATTTTAAATCTTTTTTTTCTTCAGGTTATCCAGTTTTGCAAACACTTAGGCCCTATATTCTTTGGCCTAGTAGATGCAAATGAATAATTTGCCTGTGTAGTCCAGTCATGTGCAGTACATACACTTTTTTTGGACTTTTTCGAATCGTCGATCCGAAAGTATGCAGCGCTGATAAATGTTGTTAAAATACAGATAAACAGATACATACATACAGATATATTTATATATATTGTATTTATTTATATATTTATTTATTTATATATATATATTATTTTATATATACTGTATTTATTTATAAGTTTATTTATATATTTTTATATTTGTATTTATATAGGCTATATATTTATATATATATTTATTTGTATATTCATTTATATATATATATGTATATAGTTATTGTATATTTATTTATATATTTAGTTTTTAATACTTATTTGTATATATATATATTTATATATTTATATATGTATATACACTGTATTATTAATTTATATATACTGTAATTATTTATATATTTATTTATATATTTGTATATTTATTTGTATATTTATTTATATATATGTTAATTCAAACGATATTTAATTTATTCATTATAGGCTTAATCATCAAAGAAAGGTAAATAGTGTTTGAATAAAGGACATGATAATACATTATCATGTCCTTTATTCAAACATTGTATTTACCTTTGATGATTTATATACAATTTAACAGTGTCAACGACTATCTTGATTTATATACAGTGGGTATATATTATATGTATCAACAATTGCCACTTAAAAAAGTTAACCACCTTAAATAATATTAATATTCAAATGATATTTAATTTATTCATTATAGGCTTAATTCGGGCATGATTCGCAGTATTTAATGGTATGAAAATGATGTTAAACCTGAACATAATCAGTATTTTCATGATCCTTGGGTATCAGTATAAAAAAAAAAAAACGACGCAATGCTCACGGTTTTGTTTTTCAAATTTGGACGATTTTTACCCTGCAAGTTTCCAGTTTTGTGTTCTGTGGCACCTGCAGACCTTACAAATTAAAAATCAGCACAAAAAATGATTACTGAGTTGAAAAATAGCTCAATTTTTTGGCCAAAAGGGTAGTTGTTGCGATCCTTGTGGCAGACAAGGTACTACTTACCAATCAGAAACAAGTAAACACATCATCAGATCTGGCTCGATTCATTAACCAAAAGATGACTACTGTCGACTAAGAAAATAGAAAAAGTGCGCGGATCCAGTAGTGGGGGGAGGGGGAGGGCATGTGGGCATTGTGTGCCCCGTTTTGCCACTAAATTTTAAAAATTTCAATGAATATCAATGTTCTACTCTCATATATATCCTGAAACCGTTGTTTCCCTGTTTGAAAAATTCTGCATCCACCCCTGTTAACATCAATTATAGGCTAATTAATTATCTTGGTTTATCCCACTGGACCCCAGTATACTGCCCTGTCGTCAAGCGAACACCTGCATGTGGAGGCCTTCAGGAGACAACTGTGCTGTCCCGTTGGGTCGTGACAAAATGCGAGCCAGCGAGTCAAGCGAGCCAATGCGCGAGCTAGCAAGCCATGCGAGCCATACATTTTAAATCTTTTTTTTCTTCAGGTTATCCAGTTTTGCAAACACTTAGGCCCTATATTCTTTGGCCTAGTAGATGCAAATGAATAATTTGCCTGTGTAGTCCAGTCATGTGCAGTACATACACTTTTTTTTTTACTTTTTCGAATCGTCGATCCGAAAGTATGCAGCGCTGATAGATTTTGTTAAAATACAGATAAACAGATACATACATACAGATATATTTATATATATTGTATTTATTTATATATTTATTTATTTATATATATATATATTATTTTATATATACTGTATTTATTTATAAATGTATTTATATATTTTTATATTTGTATTTATATAGGCTATATATTTATATATATTTATTTATTTGTATATTCATTTATATATATATGTATATAGTTATTGTATATTTATTTATATATTTAGTTTTTAATACTTATTTGTATATATATATTTATATATTTATATATATATATATATACACTGTATTATTAATTTATATATACTGTAATTATTTATATATTTATTTATATATTTGTATATTTATTTGTATATTTATTTATATATATTAATAAGTTCATACATTAATAAGTTTTATATATTTCTTTATATATATCTATTTATATATATAAATATATATAAATATTAATATATTTATTTTTATATATTTATTTGTATATATATATTTATATATTTATTTACATATACTGTATTATTATTTTATATATACTGTAATTAGTCATAATATATTCATTCATATATTTATTTATATATTTATTTGTATATATTTTTTTTATAAATACATAGATTTTTTTATACGCACAATCCATATTGTGACATACCAGGGAGCCGCCACAAATCTATAACGTCCGTCTGCCACCCTTACAAAATCCACGTCTTTTACAAGGCTGGGCACGCTGCCAGTTCCAGTTATCACAAATATTGGAAAGTGGTTCTTTTTTATTATACGCTACCTGGTACTTTACAGTAGGTGGGATTTTATCCACTTGCACTGTATCCATCTTTTCAATATTTATTTGATTAATGTAAGTTCTCTTACCCTTCTGCAACAGAATACCATCTGTGTCCCTATCGTGGCCACTCATCACAACACAACAATTATAATTAATTAGAATAAGATACAAGGATTGTTTAGCAGTCGAGGTCAATACAGAATTATACTTTCGATAACACTTGGTCCATGGCATGAACACCATACAGTATTTTACAAAATTAGTAGAGTAACCTAATGATTTTAACGGCACTGCTGCAAACGCCCTTACTGGTCATAATGCATTCATTTCAACAATTTTCAGGTATTTTCTTGACATGAAATTATATTGTGGTCAAAAAGTGGGGTACCATCCATCATAAATGTGGGAGGGAGAACATGCTTCTTCCCCACCCCATGAACAATGATCTCCGCCCATGCAAGCCACCATTGCAAGTTTTCGATCAGATGCATACTAGTGTTTCAAAATGCTGAATGCTACAAGTTAGTCACCAATTATCCCTAATCCCTAATTATTATTATTAGTAATAAAAATAATAATACTGTAAGCGTAATATAGATTACATATTTAGCACTATAATAATATCTAGGCTATTACTCCCTTGTAGGCGTATAGGAGACCAAAGCGTCTGATAATGAAACAAAAATATTTTTGATAAAATATAAATATATAAATAAATTTATAAACATATAAATATATATAAATATATATTTAAATGAACATACAAATAAATATATATACGGTATAAATATACAAATAAATATACAAACAAATAAATATATATAAATATATAAATACATAAATATATATTAATAAATAAACAAATAAATATATAAATAAATATATAAATAAATATATAAATAATTAAGTATATATAAAATAATAATACAGTATATAAAAATAAATATATTAATATTTATATATATATATATGTATATAAATATATAAAAAATATATGAACATATTAATATATATAAATATACAAATAAATATATAAATATATATATATGTAAATGTATAAATAAATATATGAACATATTAATATATGTAAATATATAAATATATATATATATGTAAATGAATATACAAATAAATATACAAAGAAATAAATATATAAATGAATATGTAAACAAATAAATATATATAATATATAAATACATAAATATATATAAATAAATATACAAATAAATATATAGGCCTAAATATATATATAAATAATTACAGTATATATAAATTAATAATACATAAATATATAAAAATAAATATATTAATATTATATATATAGATAAATATATATATATATAAATATATGTATATCAATATATAAAAAATATATGAACATATTAATATATATAAATATATATATATATATATACAAACTATTTAAAAAAATTTAAATAATTAAATAAATATATAAACATATACCTATATAAATATATATAAATACATACAAATAAATATATATATATAAATAAATTTACAAATAAATATACAAATATAAAAATAAATATATAAATAATTCCAGTATATATAAAATAATAATACAGTATATATATAAATAAATAAATATATAAATATATATACA